TTTGTTTACGCCAGCCTACTTGGACTGAAACAAAATATATACAGGTAAATGTCACATATAGATACATACTAAATAGGAGAAACAAAACATACAACTGTTAACACAGACCTAATTATTAGCATAATAAGACATTAAATAACCTATTATTTTTACCCTTCTTTTAATTCATGGCTTATCAGAAACTCATTTATTCCATCTGGCTGTAATTATTCTCCTTTTAGTGTTCAAATTGTGACAGCCTTACTAACCTCAAACTGGCTTCTTTGTCCTTTCAGCATGAGCCTAGACCTCCTTTATTTAAAAAAAAAAAAAATGCTTAATTTCTTTCTGACAAAATATTCTAAACCCATCTTGATGTTTTTCCTTCTGACCTAAGACATAGAATTAGTAGTCTCCCTAAATCTCTGGTTCTTTTTTAGTGGAAAATATATTAGAGACCAAAATCTGTCCCACCTGGAGTTGATAACAAGGAGAAAGGCATTGTTGCTGGCCAGTGAAGTGACAGAACAAGAAAACATGTTTCTTTTAAGGGCAAATGTTAATAATGGTAGTCTGATTTAACTAACATTATTAAATCTTCTCATGCCGTACCGTTTTTCTCCTTATAAGGTTTCATTGACCACTAAACACTATTATATTGACATATCTTTCCATATGAATAGTCTTATATATTGGGATTTTTAAAATGAACTTGAGATTTTTTTCTTTCATTAAGAAACAAATACAGTATTCCGCCTACTATCCTAGTTAGGTGCGGTGGTGCATGCCTATAATCCCAGCCCCTCAGGAGGCAAGGCAGGCTCACAAAGTTTGAGGCCAGCATCAGCAGTTTAGCAATATCCTGTATCAAAATTAAAAAAATAAAAAAGTACTGGGGATGAAACTCTGGTAGCACTTTTGTATATGAGTGAGGCCTTGAGTTTAATCCCTAGCACCAAACAAACAACAAACCCCATTACCCTAATGTCAGCCTGGGTGTTTTATTTTTTTGAAGGATAAATGAATTATATTTATATCATACTGTTAATGTTGTTTATAGTTGAGCACTTTTACTTTCCAAATTCATACTACTATTTTTAAATAGTTTTGTTATTGTGTTGGTGCTGGGGATTGAACCACCCAGAGTCTAATATGCTAAACATGTGCTTTAACTCTGAGGTATACACTGTACCTAAATAGTTTTTTTTTTTAAATTCTTATATTATTTATAATAGGAACTTTATGTTAGCTTTTCCTGTTCCTCTTGCCATCTCACTTGTAAAAACAATGTTTTTGTGAGATTATAATTTTCAATATTGAAATCAAGTGGTAAAGAGCCTCTGTGAATATAAAGATGGTGGTAGTCTGCAATAATCTTCAGGATTCCAGATCCTATTGTAAGCAAGAGAACTCCTTGAGTGAAACCATGGAGAAGTCCTAGACAGGACACAAACCATCTGAGTATCAGGAGTATGGAGAGAAGTCATATAAATGTAAGGAGTGTGGCAAAACCTTCTGTTATATCCACTGGTTTCTGAAGCATGAAAGGACCCACACCACAGAGTACCCCTAAGAATGTAAGTAATGTGGGAAAGCCTTCAGAAATCACAGTGCCCTTCAGAGTCAAAGGAACTCACACTGAAGTGAAACCCTATGAATGGAAGCAATGTGGGAAAACCTTTAGTTGTCTTGGTTCATGTGAGGCATGAAAGAACTCAACAGTGGTGAGAAATCCTGTGTATGTAAGTGGTGTGGTAAAGCAGTCAGTGATCACAGTTCCATTCAGAAATTCACACTTGAAAGAAACCCTATCTGTGCATAGAGTGGCCAAGTTTTCATTCTCCCACTTCTGCAATGCCACAGACTCACCCTGGAAAGAAACCCTAAGGATGTAAGCAATGTGGTAAAGTGATCACAACAGTTTCAATGGAAAACAAGAAAGGATTCATACTGTAGAGAAACCCCATTTATGTTAAGCAATGTGTTAAACCCTTTACTGATTACAGTTTATTTCACTGACATAAAAGAACTCACACTGGAGAGAATTCCTGAATATACAGAGTGGGACTGCTTCACTATTACAACCTTGTTAGCAAACATAAGAATGCATAGCAGAGAGAATTTGTATCAGTGTAGAGTGTGTGAATTCCTCTAATCATGGTGGTTCAGCTTACAGATGAAAAACATTGTGATGGGAAACCTTGAAGTAATGTGCAGAGGTTTTCACTTAGCCCTGTGTAAGAATGCACATTGGATCAAAGCCTTGTAAATGTGAAAAAAATGCAAGATAGTTGTCAGTTGTAACAAATAGTTACAACTCTCTCCAGTGTGAGTTCTTTTTATTTTTTAAAAAAAATATTTAGTTGTAGTTGGGCACAATGCCTTTATTTATTTTTATGTGGTGCTGAAGATTGAATCCAGTGCCTCACACATGCTAGGCGAGCGCTCTACCCTGAGCCACAACCCCAGCCCTCTATAGGTCTTAAAGCTTTAGTAAGTCTGACACTGAGACCCTGAGATTTTTCATTGATTCAAACTTCAGTGTTTCCTACTGCTTTCTCTCTCTCTCTCTCTCTCTCTCTGTCTCTGTCTCGTTTTTACTGAATCCTAAATTAAAATAGAAAAATATCTTTTTATTATCCTTTCAGAAATAACCAATTGTGTAAGTAGTATGTTCTTAGAACTTGGCTGTTGTGATATTGTGGTATGAGAAATATATATTTTGTCTTTGACATAGCTTAAGAGTTCCTCATGATTTCCTGAACAATAGGGGAACTAAGAGACTCTTTTATTCTGCAATTTGATCTGTAACACCAGTTCCTGACAGAGCTCCAGACCTTTATAATTTCCTGACAGAAGCATCTTTTGTTCTAATGAGGGGATCTTAGTGGGCTCCCACATAGCCTCTGGATAGCTGTCAGATGAACCTACCGTGTGATTAGAGGGTTGGAACTTTAGGTCTTACCTCTGGGAAGGGCTGATGGTTGAGCTGCTCATCACTGGTCAGTGATTTAATCAGTCATGCCCAGGTAAAGAAGCCTCCATAAAAAACCAAAAGGAGAGTGTTGAGATGCGCTTCCAGATAGCTGAACATGTGAAGTTGCCTGGAGGATGAAGTGTCAAAAAGGGCATGTACTTTCCAGTCCCCTTCCCATGGACCTGCCCCTGGTAAATATAAGTGTTTCCTGAGTTCTGTGAGCTGCTCTAACAAATTAGTCACACCCAAGGAGCAGGTTAATATGTAGCTGGAGGTCAGAAACAGGTGACGACCTACTACTTGCCATTGGTGTCTAAAGTGGGGTCAGTCTTGTGGGATTGACTCCTCAACCTGTGGGATCTGACATTCCAGGTAGAGTGCGCCAGAATTAAATTATAGGATCCATAGCTGGTGTGGAGAAAAGTCCCCACATATCACTCTCTGCGTAGTGAGTAATGAATATAGTATGATTTTTCCTTTCTCAGAGCTGTAGTAAATCTCTCTGTAAGTAGAAGCCTTCTGAGACATGCTTATCTGTAAGGTGCGTGGAGCAGGTAATGTGTGGCACATGGAGGCCCCATAGAGCTTCTTCTCCCAAAGACTTAACTAAGAGGTCAGACAGGAAAAGGGGATTTGAGTTAGGATGAAGAATCCCCTGGAAGGCTCATAAAATGTCTCTTCTGAAGTACCAGCATGTATTGTGAATTATCGCATCCAAAAAAGGGAGTCTGCTATTAAGAAAATGGGAGATGACAAATTCCTAAAATAGATGTGGCACAGAGACACATTTTGTCCCAAATCCTGGCCATAGCCAATATGCTGATGCCCAGTCTAAGGGGTTTAGTTCATCTGCTTCTGGTACAGGCCAAACTCAGCATGAATGCCCTTGTGTGTTCTTTACCATCCCCAGCCAATCTCTGCCCCTCTCCCTAGGAGATCTTTCCCCTACCAGTTCTTCCTCTTTATAATCAGTGAAAAATCTTGGAAGCCCCCGCATAGGTACTCTTGGGGGTGCTTAGTTCTGCTTGAAAAATGCTCCCTCCCCCTGTATTCATTCTTCCAGCCCAGTGATTCTAGTCTCCTGAGCTGTATTTTTTTCTTCTTCTTCCTGTAGTTTTGTTTTCCAAGTCCTTTAATCCTTTCCAGAAATGCAAATGCCTACAGATAATATGAACAAGTCTGATAAGAACTGTAACAAGCATGAGAGTGCCCAGCACAAGGGGAAAGCTACTCCTTGGCTCTAGTTTGTCGTTGACGTGGGGCTACACAGATCTCTTGTGGCCAGACCTTGAGAAATGTTTTCAGAGAGGCCAGGGATTAGTGCAATTAGTGTGCAGTCTCTCAATGTTTATATGTTGATATTTAGTTGAGATTTTAAAAACATAGCTAGATGCTGGCACAGGACTTTACAATCTCTGCTCTCAATCTTATATAAATTTGAAATTCAGAATCAATCCCAGTATTAAGCATTTGATAAAGAAGGGCATCTTTTTGTATCCTATCAGTTATGCTCCATTTCTTTATCAGAATTGCTTTCTGGTCAGTTGCAAATCTTTGGCTTGTTCTTTGAAAGATTGTATGTCATTTCTGAATGAAAGTGATTGAGAAAAATAAGTATTATTTTGATCCAAGTTTGCCTAATCCTTTTCTTCCATGAAAGAGGCTTTCACAAAGAGAACTAAGAAAATCTGCACAGTCAGAGATTTGACTGTGCAGTATAGAGACTGTTCTTGTAGTATTTGGGGTTCCAAAAATTTTGCTAAAAAAAAAAAATGCTGTAACTCATACATGGGTAATTAAAATTATTTAGAATTAAGTCTGAAAAGTCCTCAGTCAGTATTATACTTTGTGTGTGTGTCCATGTATTATGCTCTTAAAAGTTGCTGGGACATAGGCAGGAAGGGGAAGATACTTACCAAGTGACTTCATCATTGTGTTAGAGAGTAGGAATTTTGTTCTTTGGGTTCTAGATGACCTAGGTGTAGAAAATAGATATAAAAAGTTTCTTCTCCCTGCCCCCACTTCTTTTTTTTTCCTCTGTTAGGTTTTCAAAACAAAAATAGAGTTGCAATCTTGGCAGAACTGGACAAGGAGAAACGAAAATTACTTATGCAGAACCAATCTTCAACAAATCATCCTGGAGCTAGGTATTGACTATTATTTTGGGGTGCTATTATTAATAATATTTTTCAAGAAAATATGCTGTTGGACACTCTTTGGAAGTCTCCTGGTACCCTTAAAATATGTCTTCCCTGACCACTACCCTACTACATGAAGAGTCTCTATTGGGGGGTGGGGGGAGGATTCTCTATTAGCACCTCTGTAACTCTACATCATGTACAACCAGATGAACAAGAAGTTATGCTGCATTTATGTATGATGTGTCAAAATGCATTCTACTGTCACATATAAATAATTAGAACAAATAAAAAATAGACTCTCTATTGGGGGCTAGAGCTGTATAGCTCAGTGGTGGAGTGCTTGCCTACTATGTGTGAGGCATTGAGTTTGATTGTCAACACTGCATATAAATAAATAAGTAAGTAAGTAAGTAAATAGTCCATGAACAAATAAAAAAAAAAGAGTCTCTTAATTCCCCTATCATCGCATGCATCACAATTCATCCGAATTGCTGTTGTGTGTGAGCTCGCTCTTGCATGTTTTATACCCCCAGTGCTTATTTTTATTAGCACATAGCCAAGCATCTAGTATCTGCTCTAGAATCTGGTAATTAAGTGTCTCTTAGTTATTTATTCATAGTAGTTCAACCTGTGTGGAACAGTGGCTAAGTTTTGTTATTATGCAAATAAAAAAGTGTGGTTTTACTGTTGATAGGTATCATGTAATTTACTTTGTTTTTAAAAATTATGTTAATAAGGAACATGATATAGACTGTGGTACCTCAAATCTATTTGAAAATAGGGGACCTTAAATTATAAATAAAAAAATAATGAAAAATATGGGTTGGAATTAAGGATAGAAGATCTAGCCAGTAACAGAATGTGTGCATAGTATGCATAACATGCATGAAGTCAGGGTTGTGATTCCCAACACCACCTAGAAAAAAAAAACAGAAGTAAGGACATCTCTTTAGGAGACTTATTATTCATTATACAGTATGGTGACTGTTAATAATGATTATTGAATACCTGAAAATTACTGAGAGTAGATCTTTAGTGCTCTCAAAATTAAAAAAAAAAAATCAGTATGTGAGATGACAGATGTGCTAATTAGCTTGATCTAACCATTTCACAACATATGCAGATATCAAAACATGATATTGTACACCATAAGTATATGCAGTTTTTATGCGTCAACTATATGATTTAAAACAAAGATAATTTACTACTATTAAAAAAAAAAAAGTAGGATGCCTTTGCCTTAAGAAACCTAGTAACCAAGATTTCCATTTTAGCATTGCACTCTCCAGACCCGCTCTTAATAAGGACTTCCGGGATCATGCAGAACAGCAGCATATCGCAGCCCAGCAGAAGGCAGCTTTGCAGGTGAGCAAAGTATAACTGACATTCTTGAATCATTTGTGATTTCCTGGGCCTTAGAAGCTAGCACAGTAGTTATTTTGTATTTTGGTAGAGCAATATCAATAAGAATGTTCCACACATAATTGCAATGGTTTGCTGATGTTCAATCATACCCAAAGGGTTTGAAGGACCAGTACAGCAGTAATGAAAGTGTCTTTTATGGTGTTGACGCCGTCATGATGGATTCTGTGCTATACCTGCCAAGGGATTGCTTGTGCACAAAAGAGCTGAGGATATTTGGATGGGCAGGATGATCTAGAAAATTGAACTGGCTAGTTTAATAGTACATATATATTTTTAAATTTGTCATGTCATTATATTGTTTGATATTCTTATTGGTTTATTGCTGCTGTTAGGATTTTTTTTTTTTTTTTATGGTTTGCACAACTTGTGCAGGCAGTGTTTAAAAGCTAACTCTTACTGTTGGATTAGAAATTCACATTCCTAATGTGGAACCTCTTATTCAATTTAAAAACCTTAATTCAGGGGCTGGAGTTGTGGCTCAGTGGTACAGTGATTGCCTAGCATATGTGAGGCACTGGGTTCAATTCTTAGTACCACATATAAATAAATAAAAAATAAAAGTCCATCAACAACAACAACAAAAAAAACAAAAACAAAAAGTCATTAATTTGCAGCTGGGGTTGTGGCTCAGTGATAGAGCGCTTGCCTACCATGTGTGAGGCACTGAGTTCAAATCTCAGCACCACATAAAAAATAAAGATGTTTTCCACTACAGCTAAAAAAAAAAATTGAATTTTATATATATATATATATAAAACAAATAGTTTTAATTACATTTATCTGGGATAATTTAAGATTTTCAGAGACCTTGGATGAAATGACTTTTTTTTATGCATAATGTAATTGCCTATGATTCTAAACCTTTGAACCCCAGAATTGGAAGAGATGTTATAAAGATCATCTCACTTTAGGTGACTTAAAAACCCAGTCCCCTTTTTAAAACACATTATGTCCCCTCATCTTAAATATACAACTATAAAAATCTTAACTGGAACAACAAATATACCAGTTATGATCACTCTGAAATAAGTATTATATTTTTTAGAGTTCTATTCTTTCGAGAAAGAATAGATGAATGATTAGGCTGAAAAATATGTTTCTATATATAGGAAAATGTAAATAAAGGATGCAGAAGCTCTAGATTGTGATTTCCAACCTATTTTAATGCACCTGTGTCAACTTCATTGAACTAAAAACATGGAACTTTAATACAGAGGGAAGTTATTTGTGGCTTCTTTATTATTTACATTCCATCATTCTCTATAAAATATTGTTTTTTAAATACTTTTTTTTAGTGTTGATGGACCTTTATTTTATTCATTTATTTATATGCAGTGCTGAGAATTGAACCCAGTGCCTCACACATGGTAGGCAAGTGCTCTACCACTAAGCCACAACCCCAGCCCAAATATTGGTATTTTCAATCATCAATAACCATTCTGCCTTTCCTTTCAACTGTTATCCTTTCTTTCCCGCTTTGTTGACCAAAAGCAGAGTACTTTGGAGCCTTTGATGCTAGTTTTCCTCACTTTGAGGAACAAAGCAGTTCATGTCTTTAACTCATCTATTGATTGAAGAGAGTCACAGGGGAGATAGTAAGGATGATAATGAGTACTTGGTGTAATTTGTTAATCCAAATTCTGTGTTATCCACCTCCTGTGTATTTCAACAAAATTAACAGAATAAGAATTGATTTTTAAATAAATTTGGTCTCAAGCATTTAGAAAGGATAAGAAATTTTAATGACTTGGTTGGAAAATTGTGACTCTACTTGTTTTTTTGTTTTTTAATCTTTCTCAGCATGCTCATGCACATTCATCTGGATACTTCATAACTCAAGACTCTGCATTTGGAAATCTTATTCTTCCTGTTTTACCTCGCCTTGACCCAGAATGAAGAAAACATCTGTAATGAAAATTACTTTGTAATACCCAATGCCAAAGCTCCTCTCATTCAGTGCTGTACACACTGTGACATTCAGAATTTTGGTGAACTTACATATTTTTTGCTTCTTGAAAAGAAAGGAATATGGAAGTAAAAGCAAAAAGAAGGGAGGGGGACTAGGATGATGAAAGCTTTAGAAGCTGGATTGTCTGAAAATTTGATTATGCTGCTTAGTGACTTTACCTTTTTTGTAATGCCATTTGATTTTTAGCTCTCAATCAGACTCTGAATTGGATAGTCATGTAAAATCAGCCCCAAATAACTGAGTATGTTGTGTCCACAATAGCCTTATAAGAACCATTTGTAGTATTTAACTTGAAAGAAATGAGGGTGCTTTTGAAAACTGTGAATGCATAGGATTAAATAAGTTAGGTTTATATTTGTATTCCACAGGATTGATGTAGTATATAGCTTTCAAGTTTATAGTCAATGTTATCATCCATAAGTACTCTTTTTAAATGTATAAATATTCTCATATTATTTTAAAAGAAAACCCAAGATAAAACTAAATTACCAATCAGTCTTAAGCATCTTTTATAAACATATGCCATTATAAATGATGTGATAGTGCTATTCAAAGTAATTATAAAGAACGTCGTGGCTTACACATTTATTTGTACATGGCCTTATTACTACATTTCTACATAAATGGTATGTGTATGGTTTCATTGTTCATTTTTATCTAATTAAAAACTTAAATTATTCAAGTTGAGCCTGTTTTAAATTAAGTAGGAACTTAAGCAAGTTGCTCAACACAAGCCATCTTTAGCAGAATCTGGAGTGCTTCTTTAAATATGATGTCCTCTGCAGGGTGCGGTGGCTCATGCCTGTAATCCTAGTAGCTCGGGAGGCTGAGGCAGGAGGATTGCAAGTTCAAAGCCAGCCTCGGCAGTGGCGAGGCCCTAAACAACTCATTGAGACCCTGTCTCTTAATAAAATACAAAATAGGGCTGGGGATGTAGTTCAGTGACTGAGTGCTCCTGAGTTCAATCCCTGGTACCAAAAAAAATGATGTCCTCACTATCCTATTACAGTCCTACAGAAGTAGGAGCTGATTGAAAATAAAATCTGAAAAGCAGAGTTTAGAGAACTCTTCAACATATGTTATGCAAAATTTTCATGATTGAAATTTTATTTTACACTATTATCACAGATACAGATTTTGGGTTTTATGTTGTTGTTCCTGGGGTTTGAACTTGGGGCCTTATGCATGCTAAGCATCCACTGTACCACTGAACTACATTCCCAGCCCATATATAACTTTTTCATAATTGATCTTTTCTTGACCTCAGTCCCCATCATCTCTGATGGTAGGACAAAATTTTAATTTACAGTTGTACTCGGGTTCAATATTTAGCCAAAGTTTTATTCCCTTTTCATAGGCTCCCCCGGCCCCAAATACTTTAGCAGCCACACAGCCCTATCCTACCCAAAGTGAAGCGAGAATAGATAGTTCTAGAACTGTATGTGGCATTTGGATTTTTTTGGTAAGTTTTTAATTGTTGTTTTTTCTTAATTTTTTTTTTTGGACCTTGCTCATGCTAGGCAAATTTTTCCCCAACTTAGCTTTATCCCCAAGGCCCCCCCCCCCCCCCCTTTTTTTTAAATTTTGAGACAGGGTTTTACTGAGTTGGCCAGGCTGGCCTTGAACTTTGATTCTCCTGCTTTAGCCTCCTGAGTACCTGGGATTATAGGTGTGCGCCATTATGCCCATTGCTGTTCACGTTTTTTCCTCTGGAGAATTTGAACTGATATCATGTGGGTGAGTTGGCAGCTGACCCCACTATAATGGTCACCATGACAGAGAATTACTCCTACTGCTGAGAAGCTCCCAAAGGGCCCCTAGATGCTCTCCTTCCTTGGGTTTTATGGTAGCCCTCCTTTTCTTGAATTAATTTCACCAAGTTTTTGTTCTGGCTTCACAACATACTGACATGGTTCTAAATGTATCAGCTGATAGATGGTAGGGAGATGACATTTGTATAGTTTTTACACTATTGAAAACTACCTATCATACGACTTGTAATCCAGATGATGAGATTACGTTAGCAGTGGTATTCTTGTCAGTTTCTTAGCCTTTTTTGGGGTGGGGGGAGTGGTACTGGGGATAGAATCCGGGGGCAGCATGCTAGGCAACTGCTCTGCCCCAGCCCTTTTTATTTTTTGTTGAAGCAAGGTCTTGCCAAGTTTTTATTTTTTAATTTTTGAATTTTTTTTTGGCAGGACTGAGGATTGAACATAGGACCTTGCTCATGCTAGGCAAATTGTCCACCAACTTAGCTATATCCTCAAGCCTTTTTTTTTTTAATTTTGAGATGGGGTCTCACTGAGTTGCCCAGGCTGGCCTTAAGCTTGTGATCCTCCTGCCTCAGTCACCTGAATAGCTGAGATTAGAGGTGTGCGCACCACATTTGGCATGGAAGCCTTTTAAATAGATGTTGCCAAAATCATGTAGCCCTAGCTAGTAAACACTTCTGCTAGGGCTAGTAAACACTTTATATCTGTTTTGTGTCACTTACAAATTCAAGTCCATGTGATTTTATTAATACCTCCTCTGGTAAGCACTGTGCTGTGGGAGACAAAAAGATGAGTAAGATCTGGTCATGGAGAGATCACCTTGCAGAGCACCCTGCTCTGGCACACCAGTAGTCATTAAGTAAGCCAGGAGCGACTGTGGCATGAGAGGCATCCTGGAGCTTCTGTGGTTTGGATAGGCTTAGAAACATTCTTGGGATTTTTACCTGGCAAGAGGGTGAAGAGATGCTCCAGGCAAAGGTCAAGATTGCTTAATCAAAGAGACGCGGGGCTGCTCCAGGCACAGAGGTCAGCAGTAGACTCGACCCTGAGACGATGTCTCAGCATCACTTCCCTGGGATTGTGGTTGAATCATTTAACATCTTTCTTCATGTCACTCCAACAATAAAATAAGACAGCACATACTCTGCCTGTGCCAGACATTGTCTAGACCAGTATTTTTCCAAAGTACAAAGTCTCACCCATTCCTGAAACCAACTTTATGGTTTTATGTGATATGACTATCAGTTTATTTCTGTGTGTATTTTACTTGTTTTGTCTGTTGTCTATTCCACTAATATGTAAAAAGGGCAAGAATTTTTATCTCCTTCCATTCACCCTTTTTCCTCTTCTTCATTCACAAGTATTTTCCACTTGTAATAGTCCTTGGCATATAGTGAGTGTTAATACCTACTTGTTGAAAGAATGCGTGAAAGAAAATATATATGACCTGGTTGCATTGTAAAATGTATTTAAAAAAATATTTTTCTAGTTGTAGATGGAAACAAAATTTTTATTATATTTATCTACTTTTATGTGGTACTGAGGATCGAACCCAGTGCCTCACACATGCAAGGCAAGTGCTTTACCACTGAGCTACAACTCTAGCCCCAAATGCATTTATTTTTTTCCACTGTGAGTCAGGGCAAAGAAGCTTTGAAAGCCACTGCTAAATAATTCATATAACAATGCTTTAGTTAATTTCAGAGATGGATCCACAACCCCCCACCCCACCCCCACCTCCACACAGTCTGTCAGCTGTCTCATTAAATTGTCTCGATTCCTTGCTTCAATTTGGCCTTTATGTGAGCTGAAGGACCACTCAAATAAGGGATTTGGCAGATATGGTTACAATAAGAATACGAGATAAAATAGAGAATGTGAATCCACAGTGCAACCCATGCCCACTATCAGAATCCTGTCAGCAGGAGTCCCATTGCAACAATATTGAAGTCAACCATATTTACTAAGTGTTTTTCTTATTCACCTCTGTATGCACAGTGCCCATTAGATGCCCAGTATTTTTTTAAAATGATCAAATAATAATATGGAGGGGCAGTGTAGCCCAGTGGTTAGAGCACTTGTCTAGCACATGTGAGACACCAGGTTCAATCCTCAGCACCACATAAAAATAAATTAAAGGTACTGTGTCCATCTACAACTGAAAAAATTTAAAGAATAAAATTTTAAAAAATGAATATGGACCATGAGGAGCAGGAGTTTATAGTCACTGTCCTCAGGAGTCTGACATCATAGAGCATGTGAGACAAGCACACAACTAATACTGGGTGCAACCTGGTGAGGACAGGAGCCTGAAAGAACCAGTGAAGCTACAACAGAGAGGGCATTTGAACTTGACTTTCAAATGAGAGGATTTTAGCCAGGGAAGCCATACTCAAAGCAAAGGAAACGTCTGCCCAGGGGCAGGAGGGGAACAGGAATAGGGGCCATTATGAAGCTACCAGAAGTTCAATTTGCTGGAGCACAGATAGATTTGTGTAGATAGATAATTAGAAATGAGACTAAGAGTGGAGTGGATTCATAATCAAGAGGGTTTTTTTTTTATTTTTTTTTTAAATATTTATTTATTTATTTTTTAGTTCTTGGTGGACACAACATCTCTGTTTGCATGTGGTGCTGAGGATCGAACCCGGGCCCCACGCATGCCAGGCGAGCGCGCTACCGCTTGAGCCACATCCGCAGCCCCATCAAGAGGGTTTTGAATTCCAGGATGTCCAGAGTCTTTAGCCTGGTACACAGCTAGAAGCCATTGAACATTTTTGGGCATAAGTAGGTATGAAGAAGAACTGATTGAACCCTCTTCAGCTTTCCACTGCACCAGAATGTGATGATGTTTTTAACTCCTGCTGTCTGCCTTAATGCCAGGGAAAAGCACCTTTGAAGATAATCCCTAGGTTCTCCTTAGACCCCTTTGCTTTCTCCCTCAGTAGTTGCATGTGTCATTTAAAGGTTATCTTTTCTGGGTGTGAATCAATGGAGAGCATATACTTAACATGCATGAGGCTCTGGGGTTAAGCCCCAGCACCAGAAATTTTTTTTTTTCCAAAATTCATCTTTTCAGTAATGCCTTCTGACTGGCCATGTATCTCAGTGATAAGAGTGCTTCCCTTATCACTGGATTCAATCCATAGTACCACAAAAACAAGTCAACGATGCTTCTTTGAGCATCCCTATTTAAAACTTTCTCTCTTTCACATACAATTTGGCTTAATTTTCTTATGTGGTGATTTACCATCCTCAAAAATAGAACATGATTAATTTTACCTTGTGTATCTTACTTCTCCCACTAGGATATAAGAGTAATGACTGCAGATTTTTTTTTTTAAGTTTCCTGATATTATGCCTGGTAAAGCATAGTGAGTGTTCAAATGTTTTAATAAATAAACAAAAAAAAAGTCCAAAGGGAAAATTGGCACCTCAGTCCTCAGCAGTGGACTCTCTGGGAAGTAGACCCTCTTCCCAGGTGAAATGTACCCATGCACAAAAACTATGCCTATCATTTTAGGGGGTTCCTGGACTCAGTGAAGACCACCCATGGGTCTCAAGTTAAAACCCTCTGATCAAAAGTAATTCAGCTACCTCACTGGATTCTTCTCTGACAGACTTTTGGAAATCTCAATGGCATAGATTTTATTACTGTTGAGTCTCCCAGGAGATTTGGAGCCTTGCAATATTGTAGCAAGTATAGTAAAACTGGCAGCAATAGTTCTGTTAAGAAAACATCATTATGTGCCAGCTCTTGATTAAGTTCTCTTTGGGAAACACCCAACAGTGAAACATAGGCTTTGAACAACCACAGCTAAGGCACAAACCTCCATCCTGGGACATGCAGACCTTCATTAGAGAATTGGGGTATTGTCCCTATTCACCCACTTTGTGAGTTAAATGCTCA